GCCCGTGCCCCCCCCCCACCCCCCGCTCGGGGTGGGCAGGCGCGCGCCTCCGGGATATGACCGCCGCCCCACCCGCCCCTGGAACCAAACCGTCTCCTGTAAACCGGAGCCTCCTGGCGCGCGGGGCCGGCTCCGCGAAAAGGGGAGCAGAGGAGCGCGCCCGGCCGACAGGCCTCACGCGACCGCAGGGAGAACGGTCGCTCGCCCCCTCCTCCCCCTTCCGAGGAACGGGAAAGGGAGCAGGGACGTGCGCGGGCGGTTCCCATGGAGACAGGCGCCTGGGCGTGGGCTCAAAGGGACGGGAAGCGGCGCCGCACGTGCTTTCCCTCCCGCTCCTCCAGCCTGTTTCCCACGTTTGCAGCTCGTTCTTCAGTTCTGATTTGTTGAAAAGTGTTATATCTGCGCTCGCGGTCTTCCTTTTTCTCCCGCTCGCTCTACCTGTTTCCTCCGCCCATATATATAGGAGAATGCAGATTAGTTTAAAATGTATCCTGTCATATAAAAACAGACTAAAGGAAGAAATACATTTTTTAAATATTCCTGGGGTGATTGGAGTGATGTTTTGTCAGCTCAGTGAATCAATCAACTTTATTGTGGACTCAGATCGCTATCAGTGTTTCCACTTTGCACATTTACACTGCCTGCCTTCATTTTGAACGGAAGTTTCCTTCCACAGCACTTGCAGGGAGCATCAGTCAACTGGCCTTGTGGATAAGAGAGATGCCAAGGTTTGAATTGTTTTTGCCTGGATGTGGCCCAGTCACAGCTCCAGTGAGTTCAGAATCTCTCTGTTGTGACCTATACATGACTGTCACTCTTAACCGCAACAGAGAGAGAAGGAAGGAGAGACAGTCTTCCCCAGACAGGTTGGACTTCCTGTCTCCTAATTCTCAGCCAAACTCCTGGTATTAAATAGGATAATTAATTTGACAACTCTTTGGTGTAAGATAGCAAGCTTCTGCCTACGTGAAAATTGATGGTTCATACTTTCAGACCTTGAAACGTTCAGATGATTATTAGAAAAATCATATAGTAGCCGTTCCCTTGATGGCCCTGGATGGCTTGCAAGGTTTCATCTTGAGCACCATGAATTGGGCTCCACTGGCAACCAGTAACAAACGAAAAGATCTGAAAGCTCCAGTCACCATTCTGGGCCAGCTGCAATTTCTGGACTGTTTTCAAGGGCTGCCTCACAAAGAGCACATTCCAATAGTCTACCCTTGAGGTAATGAATACACGAGTCACCAAAGCCAAGTCACTCCTCTAGGTACAACATACACACGCTTTAGCAACAAAACAGATGAAATGTCTATCTTGTCACTGATGCTGCGTGGCTGCTCACTGTTGGAACTCGGTCCAGGAGAAGCCCCAGCTGCAAATTTGTTTCTTAGAGGAGAGTGAAACACCAGAACAGGTATGTCTTCCAAATCCTTAATTTCAGTAACAATTCTGTCTTGTCTGAATTTAGCAACATTGTATGCTACACCAGTCCTTTACATTTTGGAGATGTATATTATACCTGAGCTCACAGGAAAGGAGAAATGTACCTGTGCATCAGCAGCATATGATGACAGCTAGCTCCAAATCTTGAAACAGTCTTTCCCAGAGGCTTCATATAGCTGGACTTTGAAAAAGTTGGACAGAAAGAGCATTGACGCTTTTGAAGTCTGGTGTTTGAGAAGACTCCTGAGAATGCCATGGATAGCCAAGAAAAACAAATGACTTATCAAACAAATGAACCTGGAGTTCTCGCTTGAAGCACAAATGACCAGGCTCAAATTATCCTACTTCAGATACATTATGCAAAGATCTAGCTCTCTGGAAAAGGATCTAGTGCTGGGGAAGGTGGAAGAAAAGAGAGGAAGAAGATGACCAGTAGCAAGGTGGATGGACTTAGTGGCAATGGGTGCACTGTTGGAAGACCTGATGGACCACCTTAGGGACAGATCTTCATGGAGAAAATTTATCTACATGGTCGCTAAGAGTCAACACCGGCTTGATGGCACATAATTAATCAATCAAAAATCATATATATAGCATGGGAGAGGAGTTCCCCTAACATAGTATTAAACAAGTTTAGTTTACTTCCTAGTGCTCAAGGGTATGACTATCACAAAACAACAGTATCAACTAATGAAATATCCAGAAGTATCAACAGGATTATACTCCCCCATATTTCTTCTGGTGTTGCTGTTCCGTTAGGCCAACCAAAACTATCTGCGTGCCAAATCTAGCTCTAAACCCAAAGCAAAAATGGTTGAGATAATCTGTTTCATCAGAGCACCTGCAGCTACAATGTCACTATTGCCTGTCCGCCACCCTGGCCAAAAATGAAACACTAATCATAAACCTTCCATCCTCTGGAGATGCTTTTCAGGAGTTACAGGTGACTGTAGGGGGAGGAAAAGATGAGAAGACAACTATTCCTTAAGTTTACTCATCCTATAATTCAAGTCATAGCAAACATATCTCTAAGTTTCATCTAATTTTTGCTAGTGGCATGGAAAACAGTTTGGTAGTTCCAACTGAAAACACTTTCAATGATGATGATTACATGCCATCAAGTTGCTGTCGACCTTTAGCGTATTTTAAGAGTCCCAGATTTCAAAATGTTTCATAGAGATCGAATTTTCACTCCAGTCATCAAGTGTTCAGTTTTCATATTTAGATCACTGCTTAGGCAAGTTTGGCAATTACAGTTGAATATGAATATGTGTTCATATTCACTTTACCCTCCCTGTCTCTCCCCCTCCCCCCTCCCAATGTGAAATGGCATAGTGGTTTTCAGCTTTACAAAAGGAACATATAGATATATTAGAAATAAATTATTAATCTAATTACAGAGGTGAACACATGACATAGATGGTGCTAAAAGAATACAGACTACAAAGGAAATTGAAATGGATTTTAACTTTTTGAGGACAAAAGGCATCCATACAAGTCTGAGTATAATAAACAAGCAAGGATGTATAGATACAATGAAAAAATTACTGTAGGAGCAAATATTTTGTCATTGTTTAAAATGCTATTTGGATTAAATGATGTTAATTTTAAAATCACTCTGAATATGAGAATTCCTAATCTGCCTTGTAGAATAGGAAGGAAACTAAGGCTGCAGTTCTGTGCTCACCTGATAGCATCACTGCTGAAGGACTTTTCAGTTGATATACCTATGATTTTATGTATTTACATAAAATGAGGAAAATTAGAAAAGTAAGTCACATCAATAGAAGAGAATATATGTAGCTCAGGGTTGAACTGGAGTCCTTGGGGTTCTCTGAGCTTGGTTGTTTTCTTGCAAACGTTTCGTTACCCGGCTAGCACTGAAGATGTTACCCAGCCGGGTCACGAAACGTTTGCAAGAAAACAACCAAGCTCAGAGAACCCCAAGGACTCCACAGTAAGTCAAATTAACTATGAGAACTCAGTGTTTAATGTCATTTTGCTTCTTTGGTTTCACTGGCAGTTCTTTGCTACTAGCATCCAGATCAATATTAATATCAGATTCCATGAACAACGTCAGTTCAGTATTAGAGGAAATTTAGTGTCTTGTAAAAACAGCTTTGCAAGGACTCCAACTTTATGTTGTAGATTGTCTTCTTGAATATATCTCCCTGCTTGCAGAAATTAGTATAACAGAAGGAACAAGATCTTAAACACACACTACAGACACACACACACACACACACACACACAGCCCCTTCCCCCGAGCATTATGTAACTACACAATACTAATTTGCATTCTGATTCTGTTTTAATATGTATTTCTTCGCTCTCTTTTTCAACTGCATTGCCCATGAATTGATATTCTCTGGCTATAACAAACTACAGTGATGTCCACTTGGTGACCTGAGCATCATGATGTCATTGCCAGCTTAGTATTTGGGTCTCAATGTCTGATGCAAGTACATAAATTGTGTCATTTACATCATGATATGATGCACATATCATTTCCACCCCACCCCACTCACAGCCACGGTCTTCCCTATGTGACAGCTCTGGTGGGGAGTTGCAACCTTCCAGAAGCAAGGTGCTTCTAGGTGTGTGGATGTCAATTCCCAGAATTCTGCAGGTACCACAGCTGTTGCTAAGAATTCTGGGAGTTGACATCCAAAACAACTGGAGGTCACCTGGGTTAGTAAAGACTGCTATGGAATGTTCTTGATTTCTTTTTTTTTTTGGTTACAGATTGCAAAACAAAAAGAAGGTGCTTCTGTTACAGAGCAGAAAGAAGGAACTTCAAAGTTATTCTTCATGTCACAGCAGCTGAAACCATTTAAATATAAAAAAGGGATTGCACCTCTCTATCCTGTTTAAGTTTCCTACTCCCTTCCCAATTTCATGGAACCTAGTAGTTAAGACTCCAACAATTTCAGTTTTATGAGGTTACTTACAAGGGAAACACTGACAGTTGCTACTGTACAGTCAACAAAGTAAAAATAGAATCCTATTCTAGTTACTTTATTTTTATCACAACCATTCTTCATCTGGGCAATACAGAAGCTTGAGGAGTTATTTGCATTTCCAATATGTTTACAAAATGCAGTAGCATACACTGTCTGATTTTCAATACTATATTTATTGCCAGTTCAAATATAAATTATCTTTAGACATTTCCAAAATGATCTACAGTACTAATCATTCAATAATTTCAGTGTCTTCTCCCTTCCTTCCTTCCTTCCTTCCTTCCTTCCTTCCTTCCTTCCTTCCCAATCATAAAATTTTAGGGTATTCATTTGTATATTTAAGAATCCCAAAGAATTTCCCAGTCTCTTAAAAAAAAAAA